ATAGCAATTTCTGAATAAAAATAAAGCTGTTTTGACAAACATAAATGTAAAATAAATATTATTATTATTATTATTATTACTAATATTATTATTATTTTCTATTACTTTGTTTACTATTTCTTGTTTACTACTATTTCTAATTTCTCTGCATCTAAACAATCTAAAAATCTAAAATGATGTTTTGTTTTTCCTTATTTGCTTGTTTGTCACTAATAATATTTAGATGTTTGTTATTTATGCTTTGTTTAAATTGTTGTCAAATGTTTTGTTTTAGTTTTGTTTGCGTTTAATTTTTTTATTTTTTCACAGCAAATATTTTGATAGTGTGCTATTTGGTATCTCTTGTTCCTTGCTTTAAATGTAAATTATTGTGTCCAAATTGTCTCACATTCAGTTGAATGTATGATCTATTATTGTATTTGTATTGGTTTAACTTGTTTTATTTTTGTTTACAGCTACTATTGGTTTATTATTTGCTTGTTTGTTTGTTTGTTTTGATTTTGATTTTATTTAGGTTTGTATTGTTCAAGAGTAATATTTTGCTATTATCTCTCCTTTTTCGTTCATTTGTTTAAATCATTATTTCGGTTTCTGTTGTTTTATTGTTTGTTGTGTTTTTCTGTACATTCAGTTTAATGTACAGTTGAACTCAGAATTTGAAAGAAAAAAAAATCAAAGGGGGCCTAATAATTTTGACATCAACTGTATATATAAAGAGATCAGATGCAAAAACCTCTAAATGCCATTTAAAATTTGTAAAATATATATATATATGTATATATATACTTTTTGTATTGTTTATTTGTAATTACTTGTTATTATCTCTCCCTTTTCATTCATTTGTTTTAATCTTTATTTTTCTTTTATTTTGGTTTCTGTTGTTTGATTGTTTGTTGTGTTTTCATTTACATTTGTTTTAATGTGAATAGTAAAAACATTATTTAGTTATTAGCATTCTTAATCTGTATTTAAAAGCTAGTGTTTATATCCCTTTAAATATTAATAATATAAAAATTCTTGAGTTTTATGTCCAGTCAGTTCGTATTGTTTTGTTCATAACTAAAATATAGATATTTTTCTTTCTTTTTTTTTTGTTTATTTTTTTTACTTATTTTTCCTAAGGAAGTAAAAGGGAAAAATACAAATAATAAAATGTAAAAATACAAAAACACATCAGAACTTAAATGAACAGTTGACTGCTCACATAGCTCCTTACGAGTTACATTAACAAGTACATATAAAGATCAGTTTACACTCTGTAAAGGCATAAGTACAGTCCAGTTCTCCCATTATTGCAGGTATTTGTCCAAGTGTAGTTTTAAAGAAAAAGTCATCCTCTCCATATTTTGAATATTAGAAATGATATCCAACCATTCAGATTTTGTAGGGGGTCCAAGTTGAAGCCACTTTCGAGTTACAGTTTTCTTTCTGGTTGCTAGAAGAATTTATAATAAATACTTGTCTTTTACCATGAAGTCGGCTGCAATATTCCCCCAGGTAAACTGTTGTGAAAGAGAAGTCCATTTCATTTCCAAAAATATTTTGTATTACTTGCATCGAGTCTTGCCAGTATGACTGAATAGCTGGACAAGTCAAAATATGTGAAAATGGTTTGCCAGTCATCCCCAGATTTCCTTCAGGACTGTCCCCTTTCCCTCTCCTGTGTTTGCATACATGTTAACATGGAGGTTATAAATTGTCTAGTAAGATTCCTGCAGCAAAACTCTAGCCACATACTAGAGCTGGAAGAAGTGGCCTGCACAAAGCAGATATTCAAACAATCTTCCTCTGAGTTAACAAGGTTGGATTCTCTCTCCCATTTTAATCTGATGTCGTTTGTTGAGTGTTAATACAGATATCTCTTAATGAACGATTAACTTCATTAAAAGTTACTTTCCACATGTATATAAAGGAATAGCTCCCCCAAAAACGGAAAACTGAATATCTACTCAAAACCTTTATGAGTTTCTTTTTAACACAAAATAAGTTACTTTGAAAAATGTTAGAAACCACATTGATTTCCATTGTTTCAAATACAAATACTATTGACCTTATTCTAAAATGCGAAAGTGCGCTTGTTTTCGCGATCGTCTTAGAACTTCCGTGTGGAGAGGTAAGCATGATCGAACATCCAATGAGGGGGGAGAGCATGCTCAGAGCCTGGCGGCTAATCAGCAGGCCAATCAGAAATAATAAATAACACCTGTTTGTTCTAGTGATTGAGCCGGAGAGACACCCTTCTTAAGGAGAAAAGAAGGAGCAGCCGGGGAGAGGAGAGAGCACACACACACCTGAACTGCTACACGTGTTGTGCATTGAAAAATAAAAATAAAAGTATATTATTTACCTGATATCGCCGACCCTGTCTTCTTCTTCCCACACAACAACGAACGATACTACAGTGGTGCCGAAACCCAGGAAGAAGAAGAAACTTTGCTGCCAGAATGACCACTCCGTCAAGACTGCCATTTGCGGAAGCCATCCAGGCCCTCACGGTCCTCCACCAACAACAACATCATGCGCTGGTGGAAATGAGAAAAATCCAAGAACAACGATTCCAAGTCCTCATGGAGGCCCAGCAGGAGGACCGCAAGCGAATCCGGAGTCTGCTGACCCAGGAGATCCGGCCCGCTCCGACATCTGCCGCCCACCCTCCCATCGATTTTTCCAAAATGGCGCCACATGACGACCCGGAAGCGTTCTTGGACCTCTTTGAGAAGATGGCGGAGGCGTGTGGCTGGCCACGGGCCGAGTGGTCGGTAAGAGTCATCCCGCTGTTGTCAGGCGAAGCCCAACTCGCCGCACAGCAATTACCGACCCAAAATCTCCTGGAGTTTAACGACCTGAAGCGAGCCATTCTCCAGCGGGCCGGCCGCAACCCAGAGGAGCAATGCCAGCTCTTCCGTTCGATGGAATGGACGGAAAGCGGCCGGCCCTTTGTGTTCACCCAGCAGCTCCGTGATGCCTACCGCAGATGGCTACTACAGGATGGCCGGACTGTCGCTCAGATAATGGATGCCGTGGTGCTGGAGCAGTTCATCGCCCGCCTCCCCTCCCGAACATCGGAGTGGGTCCAGTGCCACCGGCCCAAGGATCTGGAGACGGCCATCCAGCTGGCGGAGGATCACCTGGTGGCGAAGTCCAGGGTCGGCGAGATAACTTCTCTCTCTTCTCCCCCTCTTTCTCTGTCTCTCTCTCTCCCCCATCCTGTTCCCAGGCCCAGAGTGCGGAGACCGCCCACACCAGCACCCAGACAGCAGTGCACAGAGGCGGATCAGCAGCAGGTCCCGTTGAGGGGGTGCGCCTATCAGGACGGAGGGGTGGAGTTTCGACCCCTGGCTGTTTCTAAAACAGCGTCAGGTCTCTCTCCGGTTCAATCGGTTGGTCCTGCTGGCCCCGGGGGTATAGTGGGAAGGTCTGGGCCGATGCATTGGCGCTGCGGGCACGAGGATAGCGTACTAAAGAGTTGCTCCGCAAAGGAGGTGAGTGCGTTGATCCGCGTCCCCGCCACACCAACCATCGCCCCCGGTCGCGACGGGCTATACCGGATACCTGTGAGTATGAAAGGGGGTACATATCAAGCTTTGGTGGATTCGGGGTGTAACCAGACCTCCATCCACCAAAGCCTGCTTCAAGACCCGGCATTGGATACGAGCCGCACGGTAAGGGTAAGGTGTGTGCACGGGGATGTAATTCACTACCCGCTAACGGCGATAGATATTCAATTCCGGGGTAAAAAGCATAGCGTAGAGGTAGCAGTTAACCCGCACCTCAAACACCCGCTAATTCTGGGAACTAATTGGCCTGGATTTAATAGATTATTAAGAGTCTTATGTGCGGGTGTTTCTTGGAAGAAGAAATCGCCAGATTGGGGGCGTGTCGCTCAGCTGTGGGAATCCCAAGCAGTGGCATCGCGTACTGATTCAGGATCATCTCTCGGCTAGCCAGCTCATCGATATCCGGCACCTTCAACGTGAGTATTCTGACGTGTTCTCACCCCTGCCCGGTCGAACTAATTTGATTCAGCACCACATCGAGACCGAACCGGGCGTGGTTGTTAGGACCCGGCCGTATCGCCTGCCTGAACACAAGAAAAAAGTGATTCAGGAAGAATTGAGTAATATGTTGAAAATGGGTGTAGTAGAAGAATCCCACAGTGACTGGGCCAGCCCGATTGGGGGGCGGGGGAGGGGGGGGGATGGGGGGGGGGCGGGGGAGGGGGGGAGGGCTGCAGGCCGGACGGCTCCCCGGCCTGAGGCGGGCGGTGGGGGTATGTGGAGAGGTAAGCATGATCGAACACCCAATGAGGGGGGAGAGCATGCTCAGAGCCTGGCGGCTAATCAGCAGGCCAATCAGAAATAATAAATAACACCTGTTTGTTCTAGTGATTGAGCCGGAGAGACACCCTTCTTAAGGAGAAGAGAAGGAGCAGCCGGGGAGAGGAGAGAGCACACACACACCTGAACTGCTACACATGTTGTGCATTGAAAAATAAAAATAAAAGTTTATTATTTACCTGATATCGCCGACCCTGTCTTCTTCTTCCCACACAACAACGAACGATACTACATTCCGATTCAGTCGCCTATGGGAGAAATGACTAGGAATAATAAACGGCTGAAAACGGTCAAACTACTTGCTCTACAAACAAATCTTTGCAGGACTATACAGACCAAGTAGAATAATATAATAAGAAAATATCAAATTGCAACATCATGCAGCGTAACGAGCAGTTTTTAACGTCAAAAAATTAATGGAAGTGAATGAGACCGGAAGTCTCAAGCCAAAAAGATTCAAATGGCAGCGCCCACTCGTCGGTGGAGAATAAGGTGAATAGAAATCAATATTTACTGATTTACAACATTTTTCAAAATATCTTTTATTTTTTGAAGAGTGAATAAATGATTCAATTTTGGGTGAACTATCCCTTTAATGGCCACATATCTACAGTGGTTATCACTATAACTAGCTCGGGGTGTTAACATGCTTATATTAACCGCAGACAGCTTCTGTATCTCTGTTCTCTCCAGCTGACTGACTGGTGGGTATTTTCAGCACTACATGCAGAAACCACAGCAACTCAAGCTCCAAAACCAGTCTTTTTGTTGATGTCGACGTAATGTGTGAGTATAGTGTTTTTACATTTACATTAACATTTAGTCATTTAGCAGACGCTTTTCCATTCCAAATATTTCCTGGCCAAAAATAGACAACCCCACCCCCCAGTGTTTACACTTTAAATGATTACCACTGTACTGTGTAATGTAATGTAGTGTAATGCTATGGTTTAAAATCGTGATTTTATTATATCTGGTTGTTCCATCATCAGCCACTTCTCATTGATGTCTGTGTGTTTTAAAATGCTTCTGTGTTAACTCTGCAATTTGTTTTACTTATGCTTCATTTAAAATGATCAGCGCAGCCAACTGTTTCCTCAGAATATCCCTCAACCCTGAGAAGGAGAGAGGGAGGGGGGTGTAGAGCAGACCCCATCATAAAGCCAGGAGGAGCATCTACTGCAGAGTTAGAAAGAAACCCTGAAAACCAACACAATCTGCTCCTAAAGTGAGTACAGTTCACTTTTTTCCTGCTTTTTTTTTACCACCACATGCTTTTTCTGGATATATTTTTTGTAAGGGTCTGTATAAAAATCTTTTAAATCTCTCTTTATGTTTGGTTGTTGTATGTACGCTGTAAAAACACGTTTGATCAACTGAAAATTGTAAGGCAACTTGCTGCAGATTTTTATTGAGTTGATTCAACTTTCAACCTAAGTACTACACTTGGCTTGATTGAACATGAGTGAACTAAAATATGTCCTGAAGCTGGTTGCCTTAAAAATTTAAGTTGAATCAACGTTTTTTACAGTATGGTTCTGAGGTGTTCAGTTTGTGGCCTGTTGTAGCCATGCAGTAAATCTCATTCATTTTAATGAAAAAAATTATCTGAAAGAGTTCAACTGAAAAGAAATGGCTTTGCTTCCAACATGGATACTGTACTGGCAGGTTAGCATTGGGAGAAATGTTTCCTAACCAAAACGTCTGCTTTATATTAAGATGAGAGTTATGTTGTTTTATATATAGTTTGTGTTTTATATTAGTCAGGCGTTTTAGATGATGGTTGGTCCATAGCAGTGGTTCTTATGTTATAAATTGGTTAATTTTAAAACTTAATTTTAGTGCTAGTTTAAGTACATAATGGCAGATTTAAAGATAAAAATTTCTGTACTATCAATAGATAAATGATGCTATTTTCCTATATAATATAATATAATATAATATAATATAATATAATATAATATAATATAATATAATATAATACCATACAATATAATATAATATAATATAATATAATATAATATAATATAATATAATATAATATAATATAATATAATATAATATAATATAATATAATACCATATAATATAATATAATATAATATAATATAATATAATATAATATAATATAATATAATATAATACCATACAATATAATATAATATAATATAATATAATATAATATAATATAATATAATATAATATAATATAATATAATATAATACCATATAATATAATATAATATAATATAATATAATACAATACAATACAATACAATACAATACAATACAATACAATACAATATAATATAATATAATATAATATAATATATTCATTTTCTTGTCAGCTTAGTCCCTTTATTAATCCGGGGTCGCCACAGCAGAATGAACCGCCAACTTATCCAGCACACACACTCATTTACTACGGACAATTTAGCCTACCCAATTCACCTGTACCGCATGTCTTTGGACTGTGGGAGAAACCGGAGCACCTAGAGGAAACCCACGCGAAGGCAGGGAAAACATGCAAACTCCACACAGAAACACCAACTGAGCTGAGGTTCGAACCAGCGACCCAGCAACCTTCTTGCTGTGAGGCAACAGCCCTACCTACTGCGCCGCTGCCTCGCCATAATATGATATAATATAATATAATATAATATAATATAATATAATATAATATAATATAATATAATATAATATAATATAATATAATATAATATAAATTTATTCATTTTCTTTTCAGCTTAGTCCCTTTATTAATCTGTGGTCACCACAGCGGAATGAACCGCCAACTTCACATTCCTGGAAAACATCCATACACACTTATTCACACTCATACACTATATAAACAATTTAGCTTGCCCAATTCACCTGTACTGCATGTCTTAAGAGTGTGGGGGGAACTGGAGCACCTAGAGGAAACCCACGCGAACGCAGGGAAAACATGCAAACTCCACACAGAATCGCCAACTAACCCAGCCGAGGCTCGAACCAGCGACCTTCTTGCTGTGAGGCGACAACACTACCTAATATATGGGCTTTATATAGGTGATTTTCTAGCTTAGCAAGTGTGTGAGCTGCTTGAGACAAAAAGTTTGTAGATTATTTTTCTTTTGGTTTGGAGAAGCTCAAAGATGACAGTAATTATATTATATGCAATGTGCAAGATAATTATAAAAATATATAGCTCTAGCATTTAACAAAGGAGAGCTTCCAGAATCTCTCCCAGTTCAGTGCTGGACTTGACTAAAAACTCCTCCAACCATAATAGCAGGAGCTATGGATTGTGAGCCACAACCTGTATTTTTATTTGATCTATTACATGCATCTTTACTAGCGTTAACGGTATGTTGTAGCGAGGACATAAACAAGCATGTAAACAATTAAAATGCTGTTTGGCACCGCAAACAATTTAGATACGAATTCCTATTTATCAGTCAAACCGCTGTAAACACCCACATTCTTCACTGGCGATGCATTGTCTCTCTATGCAGCTGCTTTCTATAGCCTAAACAACAAACTCGCAATAAATATGTGACCATTTCACACTACCTTAACGTGCTTATGCTGAATATATATAAAAGACACTTGTCAGATTTTATTTTAGAGAGCAGGCGTACGGTTTAGCTATGTGCTCTTCATTTACTGCCTAATTCAGACACAAACTGATACGCCTAACCGCTACTCTGACTGACTAATTACACAGCGCAAAAGCGCGTGCTTGTAGAGGCATGATGTTTTCCCTTTTGACATAGAGCTGATCCACGAATCAAAGCACATTATGTTAGCTGGCCAATCAGAGCTTCTTAAGATCGGGCCTTTTACAGGAACTAGGAAATACGACAGTTGTTTTTATGTTAGCTGAGTAGCAGTGTATAATAAAAGTAAGATCAATGAAAAAATAACGGGATTTTCTACAAATGAAGCATGAGCACACACTGCTTTACATCTTATAAATACAACCAAGCCTTAAAATGACAGTCTGGACAACCCCATTTGAAAGATTTCTGAATGATTATGAGTACAACATTCATATAATATCACACACTATGTCGATTCATTGTATGTCTTATTAAAGGATCAGTCAAGCTAAAACCAAACAGAGTTTGGCCGTGGGAATACGTCCCTGGTGTTGGCATCTGAAGTCCTGTGTGACAGGCAAAAAGTGTCATGATATTTTTAGGTCATGGTTGAGATCCTGCTGTAAACTCCCACAGCAGCGGGTGTTGAGATCTAAACGTGGGTCTGGCTTATCTGACCCTTGGTGAGCCAAATGTGTCAGGATAGAAGAGCTCTACTTCCAACTCAACTGAATGTTGTCTAAAAATAGTCAACACAGATTTAGCCTTTTGTATGCTCCGTGACATCAGCAACTTGTTTCGATATATATATAATATTTGGGTGTTTGCTGCTTACCCTTTTCTTTTTTTTACTTGTATTGTTTTAGCTTTGTTTTCATTTTATTTTATTCACAGCAACTATTTAATTCAGGGATGTCCAAGCTTGGTCCTGGAGGTTCCGGTGTCCTGCTGAGTTTAGCTCCAACTTGCTTCAACAAACCTGCCTGGAAGTTTCTAGTATATCTAGAAAGAGCTTGATTAGCTGGTTCAGGTGTGGTTAATTGGGGTTGGAGCTAAAATATGTAGGACACCGGCCCTCCAGGATTGAGTTTGGACACCCCTGATTTAGATGTTGTGCTATTTGGTGACCATCGTTCCTCTGTTTATTTTAAATGTGAATTATTGTGTTTATATTGTTGTCCAGCAATCAACAATTTCATAGCTGTATTGGTTTTATTTTGTTCACAGCTAATATTATTATTTCCTTTTTATCATCACTCATTGTTTTGTTTATTTGAATGTTTGCTTGTTCGTTTGTTTTGGTTTTGGTTTTATTTGTTATTTGGTTGTGATTTGAATTGTTCATGTGTAATATTTTGCTATTATCCCTCCTTTTGCTTTCCTTTGTTTGAATACAAAATCTTTATTTTTCTGTCTTTTTAGATTTCTGCTGCTTTGTTTTGTTCAGCACTAATACTTTTTCTTTACATTTCTATGCAAAAGAGGCTCATTCTGAAAATGTAGCCCTATATACATTTCTGGAGATCACGAATAATGTAGGCAGACGTACATATGGCTGCATTTTGTCTTTAAAACAAACACTACGGAGCGGCATGATGTCGTTCCTTTTCACGCTTACCTCTGTATAGACGGCTTTTACGCTGTTACTAGTTTGTCTGGTGGCTCGTTGCGTACGTCGGTGAACTTGAGACACAGAGAAGAGTTGACCACGATGATGGGGTTTTAGTTCAGCAAAGAACGGTTCCTGAATGCAGGTGTCACTGACTCGGTCCCAGTCATTCCCCTCGCAATCCAGCAGAGGCCACCATCACCGGACTTCTAAGCATTACGTCATCCACTTAAACTAATAACCACACACACCTGCAGCTCATCCCATTAACGACCCACGCTCACACATATAAGCAGCACACACACTTAGTCTTTTGCGAAGTCTTGTTCTGCCCTGTCTGACATTACTGGGCGTTATCTCCTTGTCTGATTCCCCGTGTATTACCTGGACTGTTACTGACCTTGTGTTGCCTTCTGCCTGCCCCAAACCTTGCTTGATATCTCAACTCTGAACCACACCACCTGCCACTGATCCATGCCTGCTATATTACTCCGCCAGCCCTTAGACCCATACTGAATGCTATTGATGTGAGTTTGCACGTAAGTGCGTATTGTATGATTGTGTTTGAATTGTGTTTAATAAATATACTGCAAATGGATCTGTCCATGTCCGGCTCCTCGTTACAGCAGGTAAAACAAAACAAAAACAAAAGGCAAAAATAAAATAAACAAGTAAATAATGGTGAGATTTAAAAAAAACTTAAAAGGTGGTAAAATTGGGTGGCCACGAGGGCTTTATTTTTCTGGATTGCTTTTGAAAACACTGTCGGTTGGGTTTAGGGTTTTAGTCACTCTGTCAGTAGATCAGTAAACAGCGACCTTTGATGGATTTACGGGAGAAGAGTAGTTGTGAATTCCACTAGAGAAACTTAAGATCTAAAAAAGTGTACTCAGCGGCCTCTGGTGGATTCGCAAGAAGAAAAACTGCTAAAAAACATCGCTCATGGGACATATTTGGCGCTATCCAGAAATGTATACAGGGTTGCTTGTTTCAATGTAAATAGTCAAATATATATATATATCAGGCTCAAACCAAACAGAGTTTAACTGGGAATATGTCTCACAGTGAATTGTAAAATGTCACATCTAAAACAGTTTGTGTGTTGTGTTCTAATCCAGATCTCATGTAGTAATGGACTCTAAGCTGAAATCAATCAGACATTATGAACATCTTGAACCTGATCTTGCAGAGGAATTTGAAGATCCAAGAGATTACTGCTATGGCAAGTCTTGCACATGAACACACGAGAGCCATGTAAAATATCATCATTCACATTGTTAACAAATTAAGTTTATCTTACACTTGATGTGTCTATAGGTGGATATCACCCAGTCCAGGTTGGAGACATCTTTAATAAGAGATACAAGGTTTTATCAAAGCTGGGTTGGGGTTATTTCTCTACAGTATGGCTGTGCGTTGACCTCAGGTACTGAAATTTAGAATTTACACCCCACACAGCATTTACACTCACTAACCACTTTGTTAGGTATGCCTTGCCAGTACCAGGCTGGATCCCATTTTGCTCACAGAACAAAGTGCTGGAAACATTCTTCAGAGATTGTTGAGCCTTATTGTGTGTATGGTCATAAGAAAAAGGACAGAGAAAAGTCAGAAAAAATAAATAAATTCTCAACTGGTTTAGCCATGGGACCCACATTTTTACATGGTCATCAAGCAGCGACCCAAATTTTTAGGAACTATATAATACAATTTTAAGAATTATAACTAATTTGTATTTATTTTTTTAGGCAAGCAGTGGCCGATAAATAATAAGAAATTTACCAAGACTTACAAATAAACAATATTTTATTGCTGTCATTTAACAAAATGTATCAAATTATAGAAATATTACAAAGTAAAAACGACAAATACTGTAAACAGTGGTTAGGGTAAGGAAAGGTTCAGTTACCATGAAATAAACTGAACTGTTAATAAAACATGTTGTCTGGTTTCTAAATGTTGTTTTAAGTTAGAAGGTTTTGTGCTCTCTTGTGAGAGCACCTCGTTACTTATGACACACTGAGGCGTTAAGTCTTTTTTGTCGTCAAAATGTGTAAATCCAACATGAAATTTCACATGTCAAATAGTAGGGTTGTCGTGCAGGCATTTCAAAATAAAAGTCAAAAGTTAAAAATTAAACTTTTGTTGTTTTTTTGACCACCCACTGAAAATGTTGCCTCGGCCGACCCACCCGTGAGAAACACTGGTCTAAACCATGCTCAAATGGTAGCAATGGACCCAAAATGTTTCAGGATATGGCCCTTCCCACACTGTTGCACCACCAACAGCCTGAATTGTTGATATAACTCAGGATGGATCCATGCTTTCATGTTGTTTACATCAAATTGAGACCCATTCAGCGTTTCAACATGAAGAGGCAATAAAATACATGAAGTGCTAGTTATTTAAAGAAATTTTTGCTCACAGAGTTGCTACTTACTAGACATTTTGTCTTCATGGTGGCTTGAGAAAGCCAACATTCTGTTAACCACCAAACTAACTCCAAACCTCCAAACTATGCTGAATTAAGTTGCTAATATTGCTAATATCTTTTCTAACTGATGCGATTTACAGTTTTCCGAAAACTGAGCTGGAAAATTTCCATTGACTTAACATTGGACCAATCTTTCTGACTTCATAAAAAGGGGTGGTCCACTACGATATCATATTTTAAATTTTAGTTGATGTGTAATGTAGCTGTGTGAACATTAACAGCATCTCTGAATGTAAAATGCTCAAAGTTCAATACAAAGGGAGATCTTGGTTTTTACAAAGTTAGCTTAGCAAAGCCTACAATTAACGCATTTTGGGGACTACAAAAAATACCTCCGCCCCCTGTGAGATCACAAAGGTTTGTTTACCACGCACACACACTGCACAGCTAAGGGCCATGGCTAGAGGCGCTGTAACGTTACTGCAGAGGAAGAAATGCCATCCTGCTATTTCCACAGAGCTTCTCTGTTTCTTGGGCTTCCAAATGACAAGATCCAAACACAGAAGTGCTTACAGTTCAGTATTAATTATGTTCCGGAGAACTATAAAATACATAGCAAGCATGATTTGACAAAAAACAGCTTCCAGAATCTAACGTTACAAGGAGACATTATGAACTCTGAGCCATGACCTGTAAGTGTTTTTATTTGTTAAAATTGATCGTGACATGTACAGTGTCAAGTCTTAACGGTATGTTGTAACAAAGATGTAAACAACTGCAAATAATGTTCAACACCGCTAACGATTTAGCTTCAAATCCATATTTATCAGTCAAATTGCTTTTTTTTTTACATCTCAGACAATGAAGTCGCACAAGTTATGTGTACAATTCATGTTACTTACACAGGTATATTCCGGATATGTATGAAAGAGATTGTGTAACGCACCACAGAAAATAACTTAATCCGAGCATGAGAGAAAAAAAAAATTAAACATCGGTCCCGTGCACATGCGCTTTTTATGTTACAGATAGTTTATGGTTACACACGCACAAACACACACACACACTCTCTCTTAAAGGAGCCGCATCCCATTTTCACTCATTACAGACACTTGTTGACTGACTGACTGTGTAAGCGCGCGTGCTTGTACGGGCGTGACGTGGAGCCGATCCACGAATCGCAGCACATTATGATGATGAATCGTTTTCATGTTAGAGTAGCTGTACATAATCAAAGTGAGATTTATGAAAAAATAACATGATTTCCTTCAAGTGAAACATGAGCACACATTGCTTTGCATCTAACACAACCAAGCCTTAACATTACATTCTGGGTCACCCCTTTAAGGTCAGGCTCATTTAACTCAGACTACCAATCTGCCAATCACTGATGACCTTTCAACTTACTAGCCACACCCTAGCAACCACTTACGGCACCCTAGCAACTGTCCCATAGACTTCCCTTATAAAAACTACCATTGACTTTACATTGGACACACTAACAATATACTAATTCATTCTAACAACACTAATCTTACTAGCAAAATGCTAATTCATACTATAAACATACAGGCAACATGCTAATTCATACTAAATTATGCTAGCAACATGCTAGTTTACACTAGAAACATGCTAGCAACGTTAATTCATATTAGAACCATGCTAACAACATGCTAATTTATGCTAGAAACATGCTAGATGCTAATTCATACTAAAGCCATGCTAATTTATGTTATTAACTGCCTAGCAGCTACTCAAAACACCTTAGCAACCAACTAGCAACACCTTAGCAACTGCCTAACAACTACTTAGAAAACACTAACAACCACCTAGCAATGTCTTAGCAATTACCCAGAAAACCCTAGCAACCGCCTAGCAACACATTAGCAACCACTGAGAACACCCAGCAACACCTTAGCAACCACCTAGCAACATCTTTACAACTACCTGAAACCCCCTACCAACACCTTAGCAACCACCTAGCAGCCACTCAGAACACTTTAGCAACCACCTCGCAACACCTTAACAACCAGTCAAAACACCCTAGCAACGCCTTAGCAACCGCCTAGCAACCATTCAAAACAGCCTAGCAGCCACTATAGCAACACCTTCGCAACCAGTCAGAACCCCCTGTAGTCAGCACAATAGCCTAGTGCAGTGGTTCTCAAACTGTGGTACGTGTACCACTAGTGGTACGCGGGCTTCCTTCTAGTGGTACGCGGAGGAATGAAATATGGCATGTACATGCTACATATATTTCAAAATTTATCAAAAATGATGTATATAGTATGCCATATATGACATATAGCTTATATTTCTGAGGTAATTTGCCACATTTTTTAACTGTGCAGAGTTGTAGCTGCTTTACTGGGCCTACTATACTACTGTATTTCAATACTGCTCATTTTGGTGGTACTTGGAGAGATAATTTTTTTCTGAGGTGGTACTTGATGAAAAAAATTTGAGAACCACTGGCCTAGTGGTTAGCGCACTGATGGTGCAGTAGGGCGTTCGAATCCTGGCTAAAAGATATTTTTCCATCCCTACCACCCCCCCCCCCCCCTCTCTCTCTCTCTCTCTCCCACTTTGTTTCCTGTTTGAAACACTGTCCTTTCCACTTAATAAAGGCAAAAATAAATCTTAAAAAAAAAGAATGCCCCGTCAACAGCCTAGCAAAAAACATGTCAATGCATAGAAATAGGGCTACCTATATTTAGTTAACTATTTCAAACCTCTTAAACTTCAGTTATTTAAACTTAAAACTATTTAAAATTTTCGTATAGGCTTTCCTCAAGCCACTATAAAGTTTGTTTACAAACTTTACTTTTATAGTTTTAAGATTGTTGAAGTAAATAAAAAAAAAGAAAAAAGAGAAAAACAGTCCAACCCATTTGGCACCAACAGCCAGGTCACTTAAATCATGCTTCTTTTCAATTTGATGCTCAGTTTGAACTCCAGTTGATGGTACCTACCATTATCTACCATATGCCTAATTGCATTGAGTTGCTGCCATCTGATTGGCTGATTACATATTTGCATTAAAGAGCAGCTGAACAGCTAATAGATTGGTCAGTGAGTGTTTAGCAATATTTACCACTACTGAAGCATGTGAGCATGTATCAAGTTACTGTCTGTGGTTTTGCAGGTCCGGCAGGCATGTGGCAGTAAAAGTGTTGAAGAGCGGAGCTGGATTCACTCAGGCTGGCCAAGATGAACTCACATTACTGCGATGTGTGAGTGCGTCTTACACTCTCTTTCCCTCTTTCTTTCTTTCTGTTGTGTGCGTAGGTATCAACACTTTTTCTGTATCTCCAGGCCAGTGGTCCCACAGCCCGTAACCCACTTAAAGGACGTATAGTACAGTTACTGGATGAGTTTAAGTTAGCTGGTGTAAACGGGATCCGTATCCTTTTATAATATCATGTAGCAACACAGGACTTAAAATAATATTTATCACACCTTTAGATTGTAAACCTTGTCCTCGCTCATACTTTTTAAACACTCATGCATTTAACTACTAGACAGTAACAGTATCATTTTTGAAGAAAAAAAATATTTTGGTGTAAATGAATGTTCAATTTAAGTTTTTAGTTAAAAATTGTGACACATTAAAAGTCCTGTAAACTGGCAAATGTTAAAATAAAGGTCAGAATTGTGAGATAAAACGAAATAACCTTTCTTATTTTTATTATGTGGCAGAAACACTTTATAAAGTGCAAAATTTGTAAGTGAATAAATACATTGACATTTCATGCTCTTTGTTTAAAACCATGGGTGTTACATGAATTCATCATTTCAGATCTGTTATGTTGGCAATTTCAGCTACACTTTCTGAGTTATTAGTTGATTCTTGACCGCAGTGTAGATATTTGTTTGGTGTTGGAGCTGCTGGGGCCAGACCTGCGTTGTTGGCAGATGTGTTTCGGTAATCCAGGTCTGTCTCTCTCCTGTGTCAAACACGTCATCACTCAGGTGAGATGCATTTTTATCATTTCATTTACATTTTATGTCTTTAAAAAGACCATGTAAACCTTTATAACACCTGAAAAGTGTTTGTGTTTCAGGTACTTGAGGGTCTGGAGTATCTGCACAGCCACTGTAAGATCATTCACACAGACATCAAGCCTGAGAACATACTGCTGTGTTTCACACCTCATCCACCAGGAGGAGATATACACACATATTCCTCTTCAGCCATTAGAAACACAGTACTCAAGGCTCCTGGTGAGAAAATCAGTAAATGTGAATTCAGTAAATCACAACTAGAGTTAAATGTATTTAGTTACAAAGTAAATAGTTAATGTAATTAAATTAATTTTATTTTTAGATCTTTTAATTACAGTTTCTTATAATGTATTTGCCTTAAATATTGTGTTTAATGTACCTCTGTATAGCATAATAGTACAAATATATTTTGCAGACCAATGCTATTTTCCACTAAAGGAGAATTAATTTGTCTGAAAATTGCACAAGCTTGATAAACAGCAAATTCAGCCAGATATACACTCATCTGCCACTTTATTAGGTACACCTTACTAGTACCGGGTTGGACCCCTTTTTGCCTTAACTGTCTTAATCCTTCATGGCATAGATTTAACAAGGTATTATTCTAATAATATAATGTATAATATTATATAATATTCTAATAGTATATATTCTTCAGAGATTTTGGTCCATATTGACATAATAGCATCACGCAGTTGCTGCAGGCTTGTTGACTGCACATCCGTGATGCAAATCTCCCGTTCCACCACATCCCAAGGGTGCTCTATTGGATTAAGGTCTGTTGACTGTGGAGGCCATTTGAGTACAGTGAACTCAAGAAACCTTTCTGTGATGATTCACGCTTTATAACATGACAAGATATTCTGCTGGAATTAGCTATCAGAAGATGGGTACACTGTGGTCATAAACGGATGGTTAGCAAAAATACTCAGGTAGGCCGTGGCTTTGACACGATTTTCAATTGGTACTAGCAGGCCCAAAGTGTGCCAAGAAAATATCCCCCACACCATTACACCACCACCACCAGCCTGAACTGTTGATACAAGGCAGGACTGATCCATGCTTTCATGTTGTTGACCCCAAATTCTGACCCTACTATCCGAATGTCACAGCAGAAATCGAGAGTCATCAGCCCAGGCAACGTTTCCCAGGCAATCTTCTGTTGTTCAATTTTGGTGAGCCTGTGCCAATTGTAGCCTTAGATTCCTGTTCTTAGCTGACAGGAGTGGCACCCAGTGTGCTCTTCTGCAGCTGTAGCCCATCCGCCTCAAGATTGGAAATGTTGTGCTTTTAGAGACAATAGTATCTGGATGCAGCCTTTTTGATGCAAGCTGAGATTGCGTCGCTCAGCGACGCAGTGTCAGACACAATGCACTCAAATGGAGCTAGAGACATCACGGTGAGGGGTAGGGTTAGGGGTGGGGTTAGGTGAGCCGATTAAAAAGAATTGGATGCAGCCCAGATTGCACTGCACCAGGTCTGCATCCAGACCCCTCTCTTTAGAGATGCTCTTCTGCATACTTCTTTGGTTGTAACGGGTGGTTATTTGAGTTACTGTTGCCTTATCAGCTCAAACCAGTCTGGCACAACTCCCTTTCATTCATTTTAATTAAGCGAGCTGTTTAAATTTACAAACATACTTTTTCTATTTTTTTCCAACACAGCTCTTTTGGTTTTAATAGACAAACATATGTGAATTGTTCAATTTAAACATCGTTCCATTCTTTAGACCAACTAAAGCTATAATCCATTTTTTTGAGTGTATGAAATGCTATTACTTTTAAACATTTCATGTTTTGATACTTAGCTATTAGTAAACTGATATTGTGAACTATTCTTTTTAGTATTACATTTATTTAATAGCGATAAAAGGCCTAGTTTGATTCAAATTTAAATAATAAATTTTTAATTTGTAGATGCATTGAGATTTGTTGGGTTTTTAAGTAGAATATATTTAGTCAAGTTATCAAATCACTAAAATTTAATCAAATTTAATTAATTTTAAATGTATATAATAAATTTAATTTATAACACAAATTGAATTAAATAAACTTATAGATAACTAAATTACTGATCAGACAAATTAATTAGAAAATTACATTTTATTAGTAATACATGACTTTTTTTGAGGCAACGCTTCCAATGCTGATCACAGCATCAGTGTAATAAATGTACATTTTACCATAAGCCACAAAACTTTGGTAATATCTGAAGGATTTTGGTTAAAGGATGTCATCTACGTTCATGCAGGAGAATCGGGAAAACTTGGAACTTGGGGAAACTTGGAAGATATCACAGTGAAGATTGCAGATCTTGGCAGCTCATGTTGGGTGGTATGATACAATCAATGGATTTGCAGAACTCTTTGCTAAAACTAAAGATTACTGCATGAATATTCTCTGTTGTTAAAACCCGATTAGACCCCCTGACTTCCTATCTTGCTGTTCTAGTACAAACACTTCTGTCAAGAGATCCAGACCAGACAGTATCGCTCTCTGGAGGTCCTGCTGGGCTCTGAATACGGTCCTGCAGCTGACATCTGGAGTGTGGCCTGCTTGGTGAGTCTACAGCCGTTAATGTTGTTCAACCAAATCGATTCTTTCTACTAGGATTGTGCAATGTTTATATCATTAGTGAAATAGTGGAAACGTTGTTTTAACTATATGCAAGCTGACATAAAATCTCCTCCAGACATGCGCAAAGCAAACACGATTGCCTGGAGTTTGATACGGTTCATTTGTTACGAGCCGCTCATTTAAGGTGCGACATAAAAAGATAGATCAACCAACAAAATAGTATTAAGGCAAATTATTTAATTTAAACGAAACTAACCACACCATCCTCCCCCAACTAGCACAACTCTTATATACACATTTAAACAACCAATTCATGATTAGTGACGCAGTCATCCAATTAGGATCTAGGACATTCTCCAATGGGGTCTGAAGATTTGGCATTATCACACCTCCCACTCCAAAAGGAGGTTCCCGAAAATACCCACAAACCAAAACCAGTGGAACAAACAGAATAAACACCAAACTAACAATAAATGATATATATTTTTCACAATAACATGAATACTCATCTCCATAAATCCCACTTCACTTTCTCCTGGGCCCTAGGAAATCAGTAAGTAAAGGCAAGAGATAAAAATCAGAGATAGACAGAAAGCAAAAACAAAAAAATGGTGAAAAAGAGAGAAAAAAACAAACCGAAGATAATATTTTTGAATGTTAAAGGGGTCTATTATGTAAAAATCCCTTGTATAATGAGTTTAAGCAAAGCTGTGCGGCAACAGTGTGTGAATATAGCCAGTATGTAATGGTAAAAGTTCATTAATTCTATTATTTTATAATCACACTTTATAAAACCAATCTGAAGAAACATTTTGATTGACGTTCTCACTTTGTAAGTGTTATCAGAGAGGGAAAGCCCCGCCCATTAGTGATAATCTTTCCCTCATTAGCATAGACGGTCCTGAGTGAGAAGCAGCCATCCCAGTTTTGAATCTACTGCTGTGCTGATACATAAGGATTTATAGCTGCACCCTCTTTTAAAAAGAGGGCTGGGAACACAATCTCATTTGACTTTAAAGCGACAGTAACCAAAAATGGCACAATTTGAATCAAAGGGGGCAGTTTTAAAGAGTTGTAAAAAATTTATTGTGTGATATTTTAAGCTGAAACCTCTCAAACACACTCATAGTACTCACAGAAATCAGACACTAAGGGCATACTCGCACATGCCATCCAAACTGTGTCCAGGCCCGTTTCTTAGATCGTTCGAGAAGTGTGAGTGACCTGAAATCGGGCTCAGGCACGATTCACTTGGCCGGTCCTGTCCCGGTTGGAAGAGGTGTGCCAGAGTGTGATACACTTGGAGACGAAACTGAAGACGAGACGTGACTTTTACCGGATTGTTTCATATGGATTTATTAATCATTCTTACTATTCAATGGATGAAAACTTTCGTAAAATATTAAAGACACAAACCCCTCACTGCACGACAGCTGCACCTTCAGCAAACCTCCTAATTCCTGCAGTACGAGGACTTTATGGCTGTTTATGAATGTCAAAAATGGCTGATCTGTTTGGCGATATATTTGACTGCGTGTCACCGCATCCCAAACGACAATATAACTAAATCTCCACTGTGCTGAGCGAAAGCACTTACTAAACAGCCCATCATCGATGACGTAAGTGTGCTCAGGCCCGAATGTAATGTGAGAGGGTTATGATAAGTCCACTTTAAAGTGTAATGTTGTTACATTTTGACATGTCATTTTAATATTGGAGCGACGCGGCGGTGCAGTGGGTAGCACGATTGCCTTACAGCAAGAAGGTCGCTGGTTGCCTTACAGCAAGAAGCTCGGCTGTGTCAGTTGGCATTTCTGTGTGGAGTTTGCGTGGGTTTCCACCGGGTGATCCGGTTTCACACAGTCCAAAGACATGTAGGTGAATTGGGTATGCTAAAAATTGACCCTAGAGTATGTTTGTGAATGAGTGTGTATGGATGTTTCCCAGTGATGGGTTGCAGCTGGAAGGGCATTCACTGTGTAAAACATATGCTGGATAAGTTGGCGGTTCATTCCGCAGTGGTGACTCTAGATTAATAAAGGGACTAAGCTGAAAAGAAAATGAATGAATTGATTTTAATATTGGTTTATTACAGCTTTGTTTTGTTTTTCTGTTATTCTCACAGAAGCCACACATTTCATCACGTGTCCTCATTCCATCATTATTGTGGTCTTTCGATCTAAAACAGAATTATAAATTATTTTTAGCTTTAACAAATTAAAGCAGTGAGACATTACTGTTACCTCATGTAGGTGAAATTTCACAAAAAAATGATCAATTTCAAATCATTATCAAGTGTATCATAGCCAGTGTTACCTTTAAAAAAGAAGTGTCTAGTAATCTAGTAAGGATATCTGATAGTTCTTAAAGAGATGAGGTCTTGTTAGTTTGTGGACGTGTTTGTTTTAGCGCTTTCAAAATGTGGTTAGTGTACCTTTAAAACATTTGCTGAGGTTTTACACCATGTTATAAAATATAATATATCTATATACAGTTTTATTTTTGCTGCCTCTGTAATCATTTAATTTTTTTTATATCATTTTATCAACAGGCATTTGAGCTTGCAACGGGCGATTCCTTATTTGAGCCCAAAGCAGGACCTAATTTCTCATTAGAGGAAGGTAAACCACTTAAATATATCCTCCATGTTTTTGCTAGACGAGTGTCGATTAGCGGTGTTGACCATTTCTGTGATTCTTAGACCACCTGGCTCACATCATTGAGCTCCTGGGAAAGATCCCAGTCTCTGTGGCTCAGTGTGGAAAATATTACTACGAGTATTTCAACCGCAAGGGTGAGTAAGAGACTTGATTTCTCTGATCTAATTTAACTTGCCGTAATTATTTTTTCTCTGATATTGAATGCAAGAGTGATTTGTGTGTTCATTGCCAAACTAAAATAAATATGTTATGCTACAACAAAAGTGTTTGTCCATGTTGATGGTTGTACAGGTGACCTGCGGCGAATCGCTGTTCTTCGTCCATGGGGACTGTATGAAGTGCTGGTGGAGAAATATCACTTTCTCCTCAGAGAGGCATCACTTTTCTCTGATTTCCTGTTGCAGATGTTGAACTACCTGCCAGAGCGGAGAGCCACAGCAGCTCAGTGTCTTAAACATCCCTGGCTGAAACTGTGATCCTTTCAGGCTTTGTAATAGTTGAAAAATGCACTCAGTGAGGTTTTCCTTTATAGGCTGTTCAGTATTTGTCAACTGTAAAGGCTTACTTTCCAAATGAGCCGTAAATAATTCAGTTAAAAACTAAAATTCAGACTCTTATTTACCTTTGATTGGTCTAAAGTTGCAAGACTTTCTCTTCACATTCAAATGTGGCCAAAATGTTATTTTTTGGGTGAATTATTGTATCCCGTCCCTTTAAAGGGGACCTATTATGCAAAAATCACTTTTATAAGAGGTTTAAACACAGTTGTGTGGCAACAGTCTGTCAACATAGCCAGTCTCTAATGGTAAAAATTCAGTAATTCTATTTTTTTATAATCACACTTCATAAAAACAGAAACTCTTTAAAACACTTTGAATGATATTTTCCCTTTGTAGATGTCATTAGAGGGGGAAAGTCCCACTATTATTTATAATCTCTCCCCATTAGCATAAACAGCCCTGAGAAGCAGCTATCCACTGTCAGAGTTTTGAATCTGTTCTCATATTATCTGTATCTCATATATAAAATATTGTAACACAGGCATTTATAGCTCTACCTTGATGTTTATAGCTCTACCCTGTTATAACTCTCTGTATCAAAAGAGTTTTAAAATAATTATTTGTGTTATTTTGAGCTGAAACTTCACATACACACTCTAGACACATCAGACACTTATTTTACATCCAATAGATCCCCTTTAAAGAAGGGAATGTGGGTATTATTTTGTGTGTATTAAATATTTACACAGCACAGCTGGCATAGCAAACGCATTTCAGGAATGTGTCTATTTGTCTGGTAAATACATTCCACGCTTAAATAAGGCCTGTATTCCTCTGCATGTGTTAGAGATTAAAAAATCGATTGACCATGATGGATCCCTTCGGTTCGCTGATGCTGCTTTGTGATGTAAGTAGTGTGTTGTGAATGTAGAGATAAACAATGCCATAGATAAATGTTTTATTTCTTATGACCCATCAGTATATATGTTTATAATTATAACTGAAATAAAAGCTAAACATTAATTTAAAATATTGACAAAATATGTTATAAAAATATCACTTGAATTATGACATGAGCACAACCTTATTAATATTTTAATTAAAGAAATAATATATAAATAAAATAAAAGTAAAGCAACAGATTATTACAACATGATAACAAAAGGGGGTTTGTGTCTTACTTGATACCGACTGATTATCTTATTACTCAACTGATGCTGCTGCTTTTATGTGCTCTGCGTCACACTATGGACTCGCACTCACGTATTTCATATAAATAAACCACTGTGATCATCATTATACTGTGTTCTCATTCATCAAGTGATAAAGATTTCCAGAGAAGAGGTCAGGATTAATATTATGTGAATGCTGTATAGTGTTTTCCCTGGTATTAGGATTGGTTTGCACATTGTAATTGACAAAAATGCACAAAATATCAGTTCCCTCTTTATATTAGGGGGTTTTAACTTAAATGTAATTGCATCATAAAATAAATGTAGCCTACTTAATATGTTTATAATGTATTGCAGAACACTTCTTTATAATGAAAATAATTTAGCTCGGGGTTTGCTCTAAATATTCTCCTGCAAGTTTCTCTAATTTCGCTTGTTTTTTATTTGGTTTTTCAAAGCGTCGCACAAAATAATTCTCCTTCAGATTATGATTATGCTTTTTAAAACTACGGCCAAGATTCAGTGTCTTTTGTGTGTTTTTAATCTTGATTTCGGTCACTGTTTGCAGATGCTTGTGAACTAAATGCGCGCAAAACAGCAGAAAATAAAGAAAAACAGTTAAAAGTTAATTTATCACACTTAGCTAGCTGTTTCCTAAAATACTCGAAGCATAAATTCTTAAAAACAGCACGTCAAACAGCTTGTTTTATTATTTGTGAACAATGGGCTGTAATTTAAAAAAAAATAGCTTTTTTAATATATTATTTTGATTCCGAAATTCTAATATAAAATGTTGAGCAATTAGGATGAAGAGCGCGTCTGCCGACCCACAAAGCGCCAGTTAATAAATGCGAATTTTAAAGTTAATAAACGACAATAATCAATATATTAATATTACTAATAAAATATAATATCAATCTGAATAATTGCTCACTATTCATTCACAAATAATGAACAATGTTTAAACAGACGCCAACAGCTTGATATGGCTATTATTTTTCTTTTTATTTTGGTCAGTCAGAAAAAAATACTTCATTAATTCATTTGAATCTTTAAAGTGTTTTCTTTTATTAAAACAAAAATTCCCAGTTCAGATTATTTTACAACATTTAAACATAATAATTAGGCTACAACTGAGACAGATTCCTTCATCATTGAAAAATAAATGAAAGCAACTTAAAATACACATTAATTGAGATGTTTACTGTCACCCCAAAAAACTATTTAATCCAATTTGAGTGCACGATGCTGATTGTTCAATCTTCTGACTGCATTTCCCTTTATTTACTCTTATGCGCACATATTTCATACACATCTGCACAAATGTGACTGAAGTCCACATTCAAACACATGAAAGACTCAAACTGGGCCATTAACAGTTTTAAAAACGGAATAATCTGAAGGTCTTATTTTTATCAAGTTTTGAAAAAGTTAAACTGAAGCGAATAAAGTAATAAAGTAACTAGAATTAAAAGACCTTAATATAAATATACTAGATGAACAGGTCATTTTGAATACTTTAATAAACCTATTTGTTTAATAAAAATCATACGCGCTAAAATATCTGTATACTTGATGCCAACGAGCAAAAAAAGCACTTTTAAAATAATGAAAAGAAAATATTCACAAACTGTTCGGTAAACGTGTCAGCTAAAATAAAGAAGGAAAAAATACTGCAATTTACTGCATTTTTACTGCAATGGCGTAAATCTGGGGACAATACATATAAAATTTCTTTCCAGCATTTTTTAGAAGGGTATACAGGCGAATAATACAAATAATACAGGCGAATTGTACTAATAAAGATATGTCCCCGCAGTTAAAAATGGTTTCATCATCATTATTATTATAGCATGGAGACTACGTCATTATGAGTATTTTTAAAGTTTTTCTCAGGTTCAACGACAAATCAAATTTTTCTTCAAAACTATTTATTGCTTTGTTTGTTGCGTTGTTTACAGTCAACTGACTGACTCCTTAAGCAGAATGCAGTAAAAGACGTTTTCCATACTTTTTATAACTAACTTGTTTACATTACACTTGTTAAAATGACAGATCATACTGTAAATCGAGCCTGTGAGGTTCATCTGCTAAACAGCCACAACTCCGAAAACACAAAAAATTGTTCATCCCAAAAGAATTATCATTATCCCTTCAATAAAGAACACCCTGACACTGTACTGATTGACCCTGCTCTGCCTTAATCATTTTTTTCTCCTTTGCCTGTGATTAATATTGTGACATTAGTATTTTCATAAGCACTCATTCTTAAAGCCAAATTGCCGTAATATGTGAACTTTTTGTACATGATTATGTCTATTTTCTCTGTCATTTTTTTGTATTTGCCAATACATGACACTGCAATGCAAGTTTATTTATACTGTAGCACATTTAATATACACAATGGTAATTCAAAGTGCTTTACATAAAGAATGCAAAACTATCATAAAATTAATCACAACAATAAAAAGAAAGAATTAAAAAGGGTTAACATTTAAATTCAAATTAATTGAGTCACTTAAAACAGAGTAGAAACTGATTATACAATAATACAGTGGGGTTAGTGTGCACAGTGTAGCATAGTGCTCATTTAGCAAATACACAACCAAACAATATGCTAATTGTGGTCGTTAATGTTAACATTATGCCAAGTCGTCACAAATTAAACAATAGATGGGAAACGGCTTTAGCGTTAGCAACAAGCTAACGTTAACTAGATAAGTAATTTTAATCGCTAATACAGCAGACTCATGGACAATTGCATCTGTAATCAGCATTTTTGCCGCAACTTATTCATGAACGAGTCTGTATTAACTACATCGAAGAAAATCGCTTTATTTAAGGTGGATAAACCCCCCTACTTTACGCAGCCGCAGCCGCACACCTGACGTGTGCTTGTGTGTGAGTAGGTGAGATGAAAGAAAAAGCACACAGTGGACCGAACCACTTTGAGGAAGGGGAGGGGGAACTCAACTGTTTCTAAATACATTTTAAATGATAAATGCAGTTTTCTTTCTACTTAGACAATTAATTTAGGTATATATATACATATATTTTTCACAATTCAGAGTTTAATGAATTTGTGAAAGGAAATATAATAAAGCTCTCTCACGTTATTCTCTGCTTTATCGATGGAATGTACCGTCGATTACTCTGTTTTATAGCTCTTGCTGCTGGGAAAACCATGCTGTACTTCTCATTTACACACAAACACACAGAGAGAGCTTTACAGCGTGTGTTTGGAGTGTGGATGAGAGAAGTTGAGAACGGTGAGAATGTGCAAATTGAAGCCAGAAAGAAGTTGCTCTATGCGGGACTCGAACTCTAGACCTTGTGACTGCTAAGCGACGGCGCGAGTGCGCTCCGTACTGAGCTATTGAGAAGTCGGTGCCGCTACTCAAAAAACCATAGTACATGGGGGTTCACAGAGCCACGGGTTTTGTTTCGGTATAAATGTGTTTAGTAAAGTTTGATTTGTTGTAATAAAAGCTATAAAATGAGTCCAGCAGCCTCAGCTAGTGTAACAGGTTCTAAAAATGTTTCCACTTGCTTTTCTTTTCTGGCCCTTTTATTCTGAATGACCCCCCTCTCTGTTCATTGGCTGGTGGCATGTTATAAAGGAGTTCAGGACAGGTCATTACTATTCGCGCCCGCCGGCCGGCCAAGAGAGTGATCCTGGTGAGTGAGTGGTCCTGTGAAATGTAATTTTTGTTGATCTTTTTGCACTCATTATATGCAATGTATGTTTGTAATTCCAAGTTTATAATTGCTAATATGCAGCCATCATTGCAGGACGACATGTTAGACTGCTGAAAATGATGAGTGTGATTTTACTGTTTAGCTGAATAAAATGATGGGTCCAAGGTGTGATTTGGTGTCAGATGTGAAATTGATGAGATTATTCGCGGATCAGAATATGTGAATAGTGCAAGTAAGTTAAAACTAGTGAGGTTTTGGACAGAGATTGAGTAAAAGCCTCCACTCGTATGCCAGGGAAACACGTCCATCTCCCTTGGTGGCGTACGAGCTTCGGGGGATCGTATGGGAGCGCGGAGCTGTGAGCCTGCCAGATCATCCGTGTGCGCACACGGATGATCTGGGATCTCACTTGAAAGGTAGCCCCGCCTGAGCCACACCAAGCTCCTCCCACACATCCAGTAACCGCCAGATCATCAGCCATCTTTTATAGTACGTATATGAGACTTACTTCTTGTGGACGGTGACATGTTTTAAACTTTCGCTAATTACTGCCTACACAGAAGAACCAGATGTTTAACTACAACATGGGGTTGTTTTTATGGTTGAAATATTTGTTATTAGCATTTAAAATCCTTGAAATAGCTAATTGAATGCATTTCCCAAAATGCATTGCGGCAATTAAAACGCGATGTGTTAATCTTGCTTTCCAGACAAATCCAAATCAAGATTTTCTCTATTTTTTAATGGAAAAGGTGTGTAGGATACTAAACAACGCATCAAGATCGGAGGTGCGACTCTGGAAACGATAGACCAGCGTTTGACTCTTCGTTGGCCTTTTGATTGACAGGCGGTCCGGCCAATCACAACGGACATATGCTTTTGCCCACCCCCGAGGACTGCTCGAGTGGATTTCTGCAAAGCCGAGCCACTAATATGCTTCGGTAAATAGTCAAAGTGACCGACCATTTTCATTTTACATCATTGATGATTTACTTTTATTAGGATATAAGTTAATACTTTAGGTAAACGTAGCATTCATTCAATTGCTCAAACGCAGCGAGCATGATGGCATGACAGTTCAAGTTTATTTAAAATGAAGTGAACAGGAACAGGTAGGCTCTATAAATACACATTTACTTATCAATTACAGCTGTGTAACGTTAAGTGGCACTTGACATGATTACATTGAACAAATAAATAAATAAAAGCTCGGTTTGGGTGAAACGCCAGAACTTCTTGAAGCGGTCTGAGGTAAAATCCTGAGATGTTTCTGTATTTTCAGCTTAACTTTACTTATTTCACATTTAACTGTCTGACTCGACAAACAGCACCATAATAACCACTTTATAATGATTTACTACTGCAGTACAGTTCTAGATCGGTCTGAGTAACGTTAGTTTGTTCACTCGTGCTTTTCGCTATATCTGTGATATCTGCGAGCCGGATTATGAATATAATTATAATTATATTAAAGATGTTTAAGGCTTTAGATTCGACAGGATCTGACAAAATTACGTTCACTGTGTGCAGAGTCAACATTAACTTCGAGCTATGTCTGTTCGGACGTGCTCAATGTTGTTATTAGCATGCTAAATGATGTTAATAGCATGCTAAATGTTGTTATTAGCTCGTTACTAGTGTTTTCGTCTTCAGATCTGGTTTTAATCTCTAGCAAATCTCAATCTTTAGTTTTAAAACAGGGTAAATGAACAAATTGTTTGAAATCACTTTCTCTTTTGGGGTCTTGACTGCCAATCAGCCAAATGAGTCATTGATTCATTTTCATTTTGGCTTAGTCCGTTTTTTAATTTTGGGTCGCCACAGCAGAATGAACTGCCAACTTATCCAGCATATGCTTTACACAGCGTATGCCTTTTCAGCTGCAACCCATCACTGGGAAAAACCCTTACACTCCCATTCACACACATACACTACAGAAAATTTTGCTTATTCAGTTCACCTACAGCACATGTCTTTGGAAACAGCACAGGAGGAAACTCACGCCAACATGGGGAGAGCATGCAAACTACACACAAAAATGCCAACTGACCCAGCCAAGGCTTAAACCAGCGACCTTCTTGCTGTGAGGCATCAGCGCTACCTACTCATTGATTCAGCAAATCACAAAAACTTTTTAGTTTGTTTTAGTTTTAGGAGAAGGAATACTGTTGAGCAAAAAGACAATGATGGTGACGAGTTTGGATGGTTTGGAGAACTGGTTCCCCATTTAAGAAAGTTAAGTGAAACAAACTTGAGTAGGTTTACCATGAGATTTTACCATGGTAACCATGGTACCATGGACCTAACCTGATCCGGAGCGTTTTCCTTAGTAAACCCAGTGTTCTTTCATCCTCCTTATACTTTTTAAAGAAAATATAATTAAATGATAAATTAAAATGAATGAAAATCATTGAATCAATCATGCACTCTGCAGAAATGCTTATCTAGCTAAAAAGGGGTTTAAGCATGGTTGTGTGGCAACACTGAATATAGCCAGCATCTAATGGTAAAAATAAATAAATACTATTATTTATAATCACTCTTAGACAGATTAAAACAGTCTGCAGAAACACTTTGATTGACATTTTCCCTTTTTAGATGTCGTTAGAGAGAGAAAGCCCCGCCATTGGTGACAATTTCTCCTTCATTACTTAAACAGTTCTGCCATTAGAATTTTGAATCTGCCACTGCACGAGATATATCCAGCTGCAGACCCGCAGTACCACACACGTTTTAGGCACACACAATCTAGCACAGGGCGAGGCAGTGGCGCAGTAGGTAGTGCTGTTGCCTTACAGCAAGAAGGTCGCTGGTTCGAACCTCGGCTTAGTTGGCGTTTCTGTGTGGAGTTTGCATGTTCTCCCTGCCTTTGCGTCGGTTTCCTCTGGGTGCTCCAGTTTCCCTCACAGTCCAAAGACATGCAGTACAGGTGAATCGGGTAGGCTAAATTGTCCATAGAGTATAAGTGTGTGTGTGAATGTTTCCCAGAGATGGGTTGTGGCCGGAAGGGCATCTGCTGCCTAAAAACTTGCTGGATAAGTTGGCGGTTCATTCCTCTGTGGCGACCCCGGATTAATAAAGGGACTAAGCCAACAAGAAAATGAATGAATGAACAATCTAGCACACGATTTAGGCAAACCATATATGGTTACTGACTCCTTAGGAGCATTATCACCTCCTATTGACTCCTATAAATATGGTTTTCGCATTTCAGTCATTGTATCATTATTATATCGTAACTATCATTTTAAAATTTTTGCAGTTTCTAAACTTGATTTATGTAAATAAAAATAATTGTTTAAACACTAATGATTTTATTCACGTGTCCACATTCACAAACAAAACATAACAGACTGTCTAATTGTAGGATTAAGTGTACTAAACTAATTCAGGATCTTAATATTGCCATACTTGGTTTAAATCGCTTTGTTGTAAAATATAAAAAGCAAACAACAATGTGTCACATTAAAATTAATTAATA